TGAATTTAAGTGTTTGAAAAAAAGAGACAACAGATGAGAGGTTGGATCGATATTGAATGTTGTAATGAGCTCTTTTTCTTTGGAGTTTAACAGATTTTTTCCCCCTTGAGGTTGAGTCTTTTGTAGTTGGGGTACTCATCTTGATGCTAGTTGCTTCATCACCTTGGACTTGTGTGTTTTGGCAAGGAGTTTGTGGTGTTTTTCTAGTTTTTGTATCTTAGATCAAAAGAAGACTGAGAGAGTTTCTGTTTCTTGCTTAGTGTTTCCGGTGTTTTGCTGCTTTTACGTTTTGCCATTTCTAGACAATGATGAAAACATAAAGATGTCAACATTAAATCCCCAAAAAAATTGAACATGTCAGAGAAAATTACACATAAGGGAGAAAATTAAGGTGGCCAGGGAAAATTATAAATGTCAGACAAAATTAGACACTAAAAATTAAATGTCAGAGTACTAATTGTTTTCCTGTGGAATATATCTAGCCACAAAAAAATTTCGTTCCCAGAGAAAATCAACAAAGCAACATAAACATGACAGAGAAATTTTCAATAATTGTTAAAATTACATATAGAAGTAAAATATAGCCAGAGAAAATTCAAAAAAGAAACATATGTGTAGCAAGCACAGAAAATGAATGATAGAGAAAAGTAAATATGGCAAGCCAAAGAAAATTTTCATTTCACAATTAACAAGATAAAATAAACAAAGCAATGTAAACATGCCACTGAAAATTACACAACATTGAAACGAAGAATTGAACAAAATAAACATACTAGAGAAAATTACACATTCTGGAGAAAATTACACATTCTTGAGAAAATTTCCAATCTAGAGAAAATTTCAAGTCCATAATATTAAAATGCCAGAGAAATTTACATACACAACTAGAGAAAATTAAACAAGATAGAGACATACAAGGGAGAAAAGTGATATGGCCAGAGAAAATTATAAATGCCAGAGAAATTTAGACACAGACAAGAGAGTAGCAGACATTCCAGAGAAATTTACAAAGCAAAGAAATTTATAGACAAAATCACAAAAACATGTTCAAGAATAAGATCAAAACACAGATAAATAACTTTTTTCAAAATAAACATGCCAAAAAAAATTCAAAGAAGAAACATACATCAAACAAAAATCAGAGAAATTCAAATGCTAGAGAAATTTACAGATAAAATCAAGAATAAGTTCAAAACACAGAGAAATAACTTTTTTCAAATTCATGTAGCTTTTTATTACGAAATTGAAACCCTAATTTATGGAAGGTTAATATAAAATGCAATTAACTGTGTTTTCAGAGAAAATCTAGTTGGATTGTAAAAAAACTTACCAGAGTTAGGATGAAACTTCAATTACGAACTGCTATGCCCTAAGATGAAGATGCGATGTGACGAAGATAAACTGAGATGACGATGAACAGTGAAAACGAGGTTAGGGAAATTTGTGAGGAATGAATGGGAATGATTTTTGCAAAAGATAATGAAGCTCTAATGTCGATGGTGAAAATGATATTGAAACCCTAATTCTGCTGTTTTCTTACTTGTGAAGATGGTTGGATGCTTGGAATGAAACTCAGTCTTCGGAATCAATTTCGTTTCTGTGTTGATTTTGTGAAGGGTATTTTGGTCTACAAAATGATTAAAAATGCGCGCCATGTTGTTCAAGGACCTGACGCATCACTCTTTTTTTTGGTGTCATTTATCCTCTAAATTATTATTATTAGGGACCTTAAAAAAAATTTCCCTTTTAAAAATAATTTTAAAATAATGGTAATTTTTATCAATTTTAATAATTAAAGTTATAAATTTTTCTATGAAACCACTGAAAGTTAATTTTGTTTTTAACTCTAGTATAGTTGAATTTTTAACAAATTAAAAATTAACACATATCTTGTTAGTGGGAGATATATTGTAATAATTTAAATTGTAAGGTGGTGTTTAAAAAATTGAAAATTGAAAGGTGAATGTTGAAAATTAATTATTAAAAACTAAAGGGGTTTTTTTTTAAGGTCCTTGATCTTATGATTTTATAGCATAAAGGACATCAAATATTTTTATGATGTCTAAGGTCCATCAACAATATTTTCATAATGTCTAAGGTCCCTCAACCTTGATCCAGAGAAATTTCAGTCCAGAGAAAATTGGTCCAGAGAAATTCTGGGAAGAATTTCTCTGGACCAACCCTCTAGTTTACAGAGATTTTCTCTGGTCCAATTTTCTCTGAACTTCACATTTCACAGAGAATTTCTCTGGTCGAATTTTCTCTGGACTTCACAGAGAAATTCTAGTTTACAGAGATTTTCTCTGGTCCAATTTTCTCTGAACTTCACATTTCACAGAGAATTTCTCTGGTCGAATTTTCTCTGGACTTCACAGAGAAATTCTAGTTTACAGAGATTTTCTCTGGTCCAATTTTCTCTGAACTTCACATTTCACAGAGAATTTCTCTGGTCGAATTTTCTCTGGACTTCACAGAGAAATTCTAGTTTACAGAGATTTTCTCTGGTCCAATTTTCTCTGAACTTCACATTTCACAGAGAATTTCTCTGGTCGAATTTTCTCTGGACTTCACAGAGAAATTCTAGTTTACAGAGATTTTCTCTGGTCCAATTTTCTCTGAACTTCACATTTCACAGAGAATTTCTCTGGTCGAATTTTCTCTGGACTTCACAGAGAAATTCTAGTTTACAGAGATTTTCTCTGGTCCAATTTTCTCTGAACTTCACATTTCACAGAGAATTTCTCTGGTCGAATTTTCTCTGGACTTCACAGAGAAATTCTAGTTTACAGAGATTTTCTCTGGTCCAATTTTCTCTGAACTTCACATTTCACAGAGAATTTCTCTGGTCGAATTTTCTCTGGACTTCACAGAGAAATTCTAGTTTACAGAGATTTTCTCTGGTCCAATTTTCTCTAAACTTCACATTTCACAGAGAATTTCTCTGGTCGAATTTTCTCTGGACTTCACAGAGAAATTCTAGTTTACAGAGATTTTCTCTGGTCCAATTTTCTCTGAACTTCACATTTCATAGAGAATTTCTCTGGTCGAATTTTCTCTGGACTTCACAGAGAAATTTTGGTTCACAACAAGTAGATGGCTGTCCACTAGAAGCAGAATCTTCCATCCATGTATGATGTGATAAAGGAACTTTTTCTCTGTCCATAAAACATACAAAAGAGCATCCAGAGTCTTCCCATCCATGCATAATCTTTCATCCATGTCTGTCCACCAGTGCTTCAAAAGAGCATCCTGCAAAATAAGATCATTGCTCGCTTGTGCTTCTACATCTTGCTTCTCAGTCTTTTCAATTTCAGGAACTAAAGCATCTGTTTCAAACATAGAAGAAGTTGAAATTTTTTCCTCCCCAAAACTCTTAGTCTCCCCAGGCTCTGAAACAACTGCATCTCCTACAACCAGACATTCCATTTCTTGTTCTTTTGCATCTTGCTTCCCAGATTGATCATCACACTTGTTCATTGTAAGGTGCAAATCTAAAGCATTAGGGACAGAAGAGTAGGGAAAGTGTATGAAATAGACTGTAAAAGCTTGACGGAATAGTAGGGAAAACAGGGGATGATGAATTAAAATGAAATTGAAGGGGTTCAAGAACTTGAAACCCTAGAATGAGAAAGTGTATGAAAGAGGAGGAGGAAGAGGAACCTCGTTGATTATCGCCCTACATGTCCACAATTCCACTTCTTGAAGACCAATTAAGCATTCGACGAAAGATGAGAGTGATGATTCATCGCCGATTGCATAGCAGCTTCGCAATTTGAGTTTCTTGAGCTGTTTACAACTCCTCCAGAGCCAACTGAGGTCGTAATCGCAGTGTTGAATCCCGGACAAACCTAGGGTTTCTAATTGAAGTTTGGTTTCGGAGTTTCCGATCATTGAATCGGTCAAATTGAGTTTGTGTAAATCGAATTGTCCAGTGTTGAAGACAATCGAGAGGTCTTTCAGTGAGTGGAAAGAGATGAGCCAGTGAAACTTTCATTTGATATATGTTTAAGGACCTTAGACATCAAAAAATAATTTTGTGGATCTCTTCCATTACGAAAAGTGAAAGAGGGACCCTAGACCGATTTTCCCAAAACTAAATGCTAAATTTATCAAATGAAAAGCTACTTGTCAAAAAAAAAAAAAATGTTGAATATAAGATCAAATTTAAAAATTATTATTTTTAAATTATAACTTTTAATTTTTATATTGTAATGACAACGACACCCTAAAAAGTAAACCGTCGCCTAAGTATAATAGTCTATTGAATATTAATGAATTTGTAGAAAAAATTATTAAATATTCTTCAAAAATATTATGTAATATTATTTATATAGTACTCTTGATTAATGACAATTGTAAAAACACTAATAGAGTCATCTTTATCTCTTAATTACCTAATAAAAGTGAATTTTTTTAAAAAAAGTATACAAAAGGTTTTAGACTTTTAAATTCAGTTCAATAAGACGAACTGCAAAATTAAATAAAATAAAATAAATTCAAAGAAAGTCCAGAAAAGACCCCAAAAAAAAAAGTCAAAAACAAATTATAATTTTTTTTTTTGTGTGTGTTTATTTAAGCTTTTTCAATTTTTTTTTTAAGAATTTTTTTTCTTGTTTTTATTTAGTTTTTAGATTCATCCACATAAGGAGAATTAAAAAAGTAAAAAATTTTGACATAAGTTTGAAAAAAAAAAATACTAAAGATAAAAATTTGAAAAAAGATCTAACTTTTTTAACTAATAAACCAACTTTCCCACATTCACTTAAATTACATTTTTTCATATAATACTTTCATTTTATCATTCACCTGTGCCTTGGGCTTTTCTACTCAGTAGTATGTACATATAAAAATTTGACATAAGTTTGAAAAAAAAAATACTAAAGATAAAAATTTGAAAAAAGATCTAACTTTTTTAACTAATAAACCAACTTTCCCACATTCACTTAAATTACATTTTTTCATATAATACTTTCATTTTATCATTCACCTGTGCCTTGGGCTTTTCTACTCAGTAGTATGTACATATATATATTTGCACACAAGATGGTTGTAAACTTTCATATACAAAGAGGCCTAAAACTTAATTTTTGGCCTAAAATGACATGTACAAAACAATCCCATGTCTCAGAAGCCATGCAACCATGTTCTTCTTTCTTACCATCTTATAGTAAAACCAAAATCCACCCCACTCCTCTCTCTCTCTCTCTCTCTCTCCTAAATCAGTCACTAATACACTCTTAAACGAATATAAGCCGACGATTACTTGCTGGAATCCTCGGCCCCCTTCGCCGCCTATTCATCTTCCCCCAACCTTGCAGGCTCTTCTCTCCAAAACCCAACTCACTTTCATTGTTTTCTGGCTTCAAAACTGGGCAAATCGAATTACTTGACCGCCTTCTTGATCTTGAACACCCATTTCTACCCGAATTTCTTCTTCCCAAACATGTTCCCACTGGAAAACCCGCAGCCTCCATCAGCCCTCCAATCATCTGAAGATCCTCAGTCACCTCATGCCTCGATAGAGAGGCAAGGGACGGTAAAATTTCAGATTGGAAGTCCTTTCGCTGTCTCACCCTCCTTGCCCGACCCCTCCTTGGTTGACTCGGCAATAAATTTGCCCCAGTTTCTTCCTCATTTTGTCCATTGTTCTTACACCGATAGTCTTCCACTATTGTCTCAGTTAGCTCCAATGTCATGGCTTCAAAGTAATCACTCACATCAGACAAAAGCTCGTGTCGATCGTCACTGTCCTCATTTTCATGATCATCGGCCACAGAAGAAACTACCCCGGCAAACCAATGTAGGGAGTCACCAAGAGAAACTTCCGATGCTTCACAAACAGTGTTTTTGATTAACGGTTTTTGAAACCCGGGTGTAGAAATCAAGACTATAGCCTCTGCTGCTGTCTTGAATGCAAGTTCATCATCATTCGTGTCCCTATCCATGGGCTTTGACAACCGGATAGGCGTCTCGAGTTGGTTCTCCTCTGATTCACCTCTAGGCGGAGAGGACTCCTTGTTTTCAGGACTAACAGGCGCTTCAAGATCTATTTCCGTCACCGTTTCAATGAGGACCTTTGGAATGGAAAACATTGGAGAAGACTCGTCTACATCGTCTATGCATGAGTTCAAGTCAATTTGATTTCTAGCCCATGAAAGCTTACTATCAACTACAACATCTAAAGATTGATCTTTTGTTGTGCAATGTTTTCCTGAGTCAAGTACATGATAGCTACCCCGGGTAGCTTTCTCGTTACTTTTAATGTCAATATTTTCTGATTCATCGGTAGTCTTGAACCTCTTTGGCTCAACATCACAGACAGATGTTGGAAAAGCTTGTGAAAAACCCAAATCTGTCTGGGATAAATCTTCCCTTTCCTTGTCCGGTTTGTTACTGCAATCAGGCTTTGCAGTGGACCCAGACAACATTGCTCGTGAATCTTCAAGCTTCTTTACTCCATTTTGAGTCCTGACATTTTGTTCAGACACTTCTGAGTCTAGAACACAGCTAGGAGGCATATTCAAGTCCATAATCCCAAAATTCATATTCCTATCACTTGAACGCTTCGGATGATTAAAGCCTATCAAGGACAAGCAATCCTCCATCCTGGAATCTGACTGGGAACTGACACAAAAACTGTTTCCACTTTGGCACACATTTCCAACACCTGGGCTACTTCTAAAATCTCCGCTACAATGGAACTTGTTTCCATTAACCGGAGGGCTTGCCGGTGATGAATTAGTACTCTTACTAAATGGCACGGGAACATTAAAGCACGGGAGTGATTCAAGTCTGATAGGTTCATTCAAGTCAGCCAAATCATTGGTCCTCCTAGAAAGAGAATCAAGACTAGAAAAACCTCCTTGATCACCACAATGAAACAGTTTTAAATGACTCTTCTCGGAAACCTCTATCATTCTCTTTGGTGGATAAAATGGCACTGCAGGTACTTCAGAAACCTTTCCCTCTCCAAACTCATTCTCCTCTTCACTATCGATGTATTCCTCAGCCGGAAGTTCAAGGTCCAACATTTTCTTTCTAGGCTTCTCACAATTGGATTGCAACAATTTGCAGTCTTTTAAACTGTGTTCTGTTTGGGCAGTATTGGGACCCGCTTGCACGTTCCTCCGCACGGGAAAACTTGACGTTGATAGGAAGTTTTCAGAACTCAAAACTGGTAATCTATTAGCAGCAGGATTTACCCAGGGTAAGCTCGCGGTTTGCCATGTCCTCTGGGCAGCCTCGGATGAAATTTTAAACAAAAAAGAGCTGGAGTGAGATGTCTGAAGCCGGTTGTTGTGCGTAGATAGCTCCCTCCTTTTGATTTCATCCATCAATTCCTGTTGTCTTCTATAAAGGCGGTGGAGTTCATGGACCTGGATGGTTAAAACATATTTCAAATTCATCTGGGTATTTAAGAATTATAAATAGTACACTAAAGAGAATGATATGTTTGTCTGGTCTTCTTAGGCTGTGTTTGGATCAAGGATCTAAGGAAAGGATTTGTATAGTGAAAGGAAATATGAACTCAAAAGTGAATGAAATAGAAGCTTTCCCATTTTCTTTTCCTTTCCCTCCACAAATCACTTCCCAAATCCTAGATCCAAACACAGCCTATCTCAATGACCATTTACCGATGCCAGAAGAATGTATGAATGATGAAAATCAACTTCCTAAAAAACATAACCAAATAGTTTATAAAAGGCCTATTAAGATGAACATTTTCTTTGTACATGGTTGAAGATGAGTGAAGTGCATGGACCGTGCATTTGGCAAAAACACTTCCATTTTAACTTCTAGAATATCCATTCTCTTCTATAAAGCAAGCATACGTTTGGTTGAGGTTTTAGAAGAAGAAAAAAATTTGAAATTTAGAAATTAGTTTGATAATTTCAAAAAATTTCAAAAAAAAAATTCTGAAAACTCGACCATATAGAGAAAACAAGAACTCAGGACCTATTGGCCACTTGAAGTAGTTATGCTTTTATAGTTTCTGAATCAACCTTGGGATTAGTAGATGTCTAAAATCCAAAAATTGATAAATGGTATTCCAAAAACAATATACCCAAACAACAAATATTATATCAAAATCACCAGAAAGAACATGAAAGTCAAACCTATTAACTCAAAAACCAATGGATTGCCTTGCAACATTCCATAAAAATGAACTATTTTAATAGATACATGCATAGTAGCTTATAATGGGAGCATTTTGTTTCTTGTAGCATTTGAAGAGAGCTTCTCCTGTTTCTTGTTTAAGTTCACTTCAAGGATTTGAATGAATTTTACCATTCCTAAAAGCAAAATTAAAAATATAGATTTGTGCCAAAAGATATATTGAGAATTGAATGAAAGGATTTCATCATTGACAAATGCTCATATCCAACCAAGAAAATGAAACCTAACAACAAAAACTCAGCTGCTCAACACGGAATATTGATACTGAACATACCTGATCTCTAAATATGGATTCATGCTTGAGCATCATCTGCCTCAATACTTCCTTGTCACTGACTCCAAATTGGTCTTTCGTTGGTGGTGGCAAGAAAAGATTGTAGGAATGGCCATTCATCAAGGTTATATCATTATCATATAGGGGCCATGCACCACCATTAGCACTCGCATTAAGATCTCTACTGGAGTAGCATCCCGGGAGGAAGCTCGTACACTGCATACTTGCTTCAATACCTGAAATTGGCCAAAAAAGAAAAGGTCCACAAGGTTGATTAATAACATGTAAACGATTTTTCCTAGTTTCACTTAGAGAAGCATGCACAACAAAACCAATAAGATAAGAAATGAAAGAAATGACACGGACTACTTAGAAAAGGACCACGAGGTTGAGTAATAACGTGTAAACGGTTTTTCCTAGTTTCACTTAGAGAAGCATCTACTTAGAAAGGACTTCCAGCTAACATTTCCAAACTTGAAAGAAATTTAGCTAAATGTTAACTGAATGAACAGCATGTAACAACACCACACAAGCGCGACTCTCTAGCTCAACATAAAACACTCAATGAGACGTGTTAGCTCAAACTTTCAACATATGTGTATGCATATTAAGCTCGAATTCCGTTGCCAAAAGTGGTTGACAGAGATCAAAGTATTTTCTTCCACACACACACAACACAACACAACACAAATTAGTGGATTATGACATGGTGATGGGAATTCTTAAATCCATATTCTACCTAGTTAATTCCAACATGATTTGAGAAAAGAATAATAAAAGGGCCAAAAAGAAAAGAAAATAAATATTATCATCTCTAAATATTTAAGGAGTCAGCTATCTTAGGTCGTACAATCTCCTGATAGTCATATCAGAGACGAAAAATGCTAGGGACTCCAAATATTTTACCAAATGTTCTACCAAATATCCCACGGAACCCATATCATGTGGCTCCCAGGACTTGGGATCAAATCCGACGTTGCTCATGGACTGCAGGACGGCTACCCCATTGCGTAGCCTATCACTGTTGGACCCCAAAAAAACCAAAAAAAAAAAAAAACTAAATATCTGGTGTCTACTTGCACACAACAACATCAAAGATCCATTGTAAAATGAAAAAATAAACCTATATCCTCATGATTTCCCCAAAAAAGCAGGGATAATTGCATAAATAAGGGAAATTCTAATGTAATCTGGGAAATTTGCACAGTTGAGACAAGGCATATGTTATCTAGCAACCATAAAATTCTTGATAGTATCAGTAAGAACTTTAAAATAAATAAAAAAATCAAAAGGGTAATAAAATCAGAATCAGATGCCAAAAAATGGGATTTCACAGTAATTGAAACCCACAAAGTAATATATTCACTATCATCACAAGGAGGAAACAAAATTTTAAGACTTTGATCAAACACTAAAATTGAACACATTGAGTAATAAACCTCAACCTCAATCAGATGAAAGAATTCTATATTACTAAAGGGATTTGAGATCAGAACTGAGTAGAATCTCAAAGAAAATTATAAATCACCAAAAATATATCAAAAAAAGGAGGAGGAAAACTTCAATCACAATGTGCAGATCCAATCATTGAGCTCATCAAACCCATAAAGAATTCGAAACGAATATCAAGAAATATAGACACATATTCAACCAAATCTCCCCTAAAAATGAAGAATGAAAAAGAAGATAATAAAAAAGAAAAAAATCTTCAAATTATTGGAAATTAGGGGATTTTGGAAGGTGACCTTGAACCCACAAAGTCTTAGAACTTCCTCTTCAAAAACCCACCATGAATTGACTCATTGAACAAGTCATGACTCCATAAAACAGAGCACAGAGGCTGAAAGAGCTGAAATGAGAAAACGGGTAGTGTTGAAAAGGCATGAAAAGACTTGGATCTTGATGAAGCAGAGAAAACTTGAAAAGAAATTGGAGATTTTGGATCTGAAGAAGGTGTTGGGACCAGTTCTTGAGAAGGAAAATGTAGAGAGAGAGAGAGAGAGAGAGAGAGAAGAAATCTGAAAGAAGGAATAAACTTACATGAGAAGGGACATAAGATTTGTCCACACCTGGGTCTATCTTCACAATTTTTATTCATTTGTATCTGTTTTTGGAATTTTTTATTCAGAAGGTATGTTGAGATTCTCTCTACCACCTTTTCTTTCTTGGTGTATGTGTATAAAAGTCATTTGATAATTATCTATTTCTTTTTCTTTCACAAAAAGAAAAAAAAAACAGAGAGATAATAGTCAACACTCAACACCAAACCTAATTTGCTACAAAACACCGCAAAACTGAGAGAGAGAAATTAACCAACCATGATTTTCTCATACTTATAAACAATTGTCAATGAAATCTGGGTGTCTTTGTGCTAAACTTTGGCAAATGTTCTTTTAATAAAAAAATTTAGTTTTTTTTTTTAAACTAGTTATTAGAAGAAAAAAAAATTATGCATTTGACAAATGTTAAAAAAAGGTGTACTTTTTAATCAATAGTTTTGCTCATAAGAATACAAATAAGAAAAAGAAAGAAAAAAAGAAAGACAAAAGACAAAGCCTCCGTTTGGAAAGTGGGTTGGTTTTTTGACTTTTTGACTTTTTTGGCTATTTTAGCCTGGGCTTAAAAGCTTAGTTTGGGAAGGGTTTTTTGGCTTTTTGGCTTTTTTGAGTTTTTTTGTGAGAGAAGAATGTAATGATTATGGGTTGGATGTGATGTTTTGTTTGTTATGGCTAAAATAGCCTATTTTGTCTTTTGTGGCTAAAATAGCCAAAAAAGCCCAAGAACCAACTTGCCAAACAGAGGCAAAAGAAAATTAAGAATATTTCATTAAAATTAAAACTTTCAAAAAATTTCATCAATTTCAACGTATTTTTAACACAAATCTTAATATTAAACAATGTCTCAAGGCATTTGTTACATTTATCTTATGGTAAGGAGAGTGAGAATTTTTATTTTATTTTTCCTTCTGTCAGCTAGATAAGCCATTGTCAAATTGGTACAAGACAAATTTCAACTTATTTATAATTTATTTAAGTTTAAAATTTGAAAAAAAAAAATTGTTTTATTAATTGCATACTAAAAAATTGTGTTTGGTTACACAAATTTAATTTTCAACTTATTTGTTTTCTTGTTAAAACAAATTGAAATAACTAACTTTTTAAAATTGAGTTCTGAATTTCTTTATTTTTTTCATAAAATAGTTATTATCTTAGTGAAAACAAACAGGATCTATTCAATGGTCTATGATTAATTTTTTTTAAATATTTTTTTCTTGTCCTCTTTTGTTGGTCATGAGTTTTTCTTTAGATTGTGTGTACATCTAAAGAATCTAATCACCTTGTTTGGTTCATATTTTTTAAATTTACTTTTTAAAAAATTAAATTTTTTTATTTTTCACGTTTTTTTTTTATTTTTATTGATTTTTTTTTAATATTTTAAGTAATTTTTTTTAATTTTTAGATACACCTAATATAAATACACTTAAAAAGTATAATATTAATGGAATTTTTTTTAAAAAAAAAAATTACTAAATACTAAAAATACAAAAAGAAAATACAAAAATTTAATAAATTTTTCGTATTCCTATGTATTTATTCATTTTAAAAATATTTTTTAACAAATATTTTATTTTTTAAATATATCTAAGTAAAGTGTGTCTAAAAAAATAAATAAAAAATCTTAAAATTTTAAAATATTCACTAAAAATAAAAATATATAAAAAAATCAATTTTAAAAAAATTAAAACCAAATATACTGAACAAAATTATGAAAGGACATATGCAAGTTTCTTAGCAAAGGGTTCAAACAAAGAGTTCAAACTCCAAGGAACATGGACTTTTTTTTAAAAAAAATATTCTATAAAAACAAAAATAATTTAGAAAATTGACTCACTTTTCAAGTTATTTGAAAAATTAACATGTTTTTTAAAATCACATTTTAAAAATGTAATTTTAAAGGGCAATGATTGGTGGCCACAAATTCTGTGGCTCAAATAGCTTGAAAATGTCAAACGACGTCGTTTTGGGTACAAAATAACTCTGAAAATGCCAAAACGACGCCGTTTAAAACGACGTTGTTTTGGCATTTTTGGGCCATTTGAGCCACAGAATTTATGGCCACCAAACATTATCCAATTTTAAATTGAAAATGCAATTTATGATGACATAGATTTCACTAAGATATATTGTATTTTCAACATGTGATTTTAAGGTGAAATTACATGTTGAATATGCAATTTTAATTTCAAAATCCCATTTTTAAAATGCGATTTCAAAAAGCAGATTAGTTTATTAAGGCACCGTTTGGGAAGCAAGATTTGCGATTTTTTTGGTTATTTTAGCCACAAAAAATAAAATAGGCTATTTTAGCCACAACAAACAAAACATCACATCCAACCCATCATTACACTCTTCTCTCACAAAAAAAGTCAAAAAAGCCAAAAAGCCAAAAAACTCTTTCCAAACCAAACTTTTTAGCCCAGGCTAAAATAGTCAAAAAAGCCAACTCACTTTCCAAACCAAGCCTAAATAATTTAAAATGTGAATCAATTCTCTAAATTATTATTTTTTTTAGAATATTAAAAAAAAAAAAACTCAGGAACATGACCATGGTACGTTACTCAAGATGAGAAGTTTGTGTTAATATGTATAGAGCCTACTAGCTATAAATTTTGAAATTTTTTAAGTTATGTCTACAAGTGACCTAAATTTTTAGTAACAATGAAAATTGCACATAGGAAATATAGATCACTATTATTGTAGCATTTCTTTCATACAACATTGCTTAGAGCATCTCCAACCCAATTTTCTCATCAAGAGGATGAAAATAATTTTTTTTATTCAAAAAATAAATATAGAGTATATCACTACTCATTCAAGTTTCAATCACAAACATTTATTTTCTTTTGGATGGATGTTATCTTCCGGATGGGTTTTTCATCATCTTCCCTCTAAATATAGAGGATCAACCCATCCTCCTTCCAAATAGAGATGGATTTAGAGGATGGGTTGAAAGAACAAATCCTTCAAATATGAAGTTATAGAGGGTGAGTTGGAGATGTTCTTATTAAATAAAATAAAAACTTTCATAATTTTTGCTTATGTTAACAAAAATTTAGTCTTTGACTCTGTTTGGTAGAGCTCTCCAAACATATTTATACCCCCATTTTTTGTTTACAATTTTTAGAAGTTAATTTCACACATACTTTTAAAAATTCTTTCCAAGGCGGGAAAGTTTGGGCTAACCGGTCATCCTCCCAGATGTCCGGTCGGTTGACTAGAACAGTGATATTTTTTTAAAATTTTTTTTTTTACAATTAGCACATGTTATTTTTTATTTTTTAAATAAAAAAAATTCAGAATTTTTTAAATTTTTTTATGAGTTTTGAATAGAATTTTGAGTTGTGTGTTTGGTTATGAGTTGTAGATTTTTGTATCAAATATCATATGTCACATCAAATATTCACAACTCAATTCAAAATTATTTTCAAAACTATTTTACCAAACAAATTTTTCACACTCAAATCATAATTTCAAAACTCACAAACTCAAAATACAACTCTATTATCAAATCATATTTAAAAAACTCTACCAAACGTTACCTTTGTTTTTTTTCCTAGTGATTGTTTGGTTTGACTGAATAGTCACTTTTTGACTATTTCAATAAAAAAAAAAAAAGGTTTTGCTATCAACACGTTTATTAAAGAGTAAATTATGTCAAAATTCTTTTAAATATATTTTTTAATTCCCTTTTTTTTTTTGTTTACATATGTATTTAAATAAAATTTTAAACAAAAATAATATTTAGAATAAAATGTTAAGGGCATTTTTAAATTTATAAAAACAAATAGTGAATGTTTTATTGAAAATGAAGTGACTATAACAAATTATATTTTTATATATGAAGATTTTATGAAAAAATCTCAATATAATGGTAATAATCATCATTATTGATATGCAAATATAATTAACCTCACTATACATATGTAAAAATTTCTAAGAGTGTTAGTTATATTTGCATGTGAGGCTCACCCTTCATATGTTGCTTTACTATGGTTGGTGATATCATATGTCAATAATGACATGATATCACTATTATATGAAATTTTTACTCAAATTTTGTAAAATTTTGATTTATCTTACCATTATATAATTTATTTTAAGACTTAAATATATGACTATTTTTACATTGTCCATGATACAGGAGTTACACGTAATACTTTTTTTTCGATTTTACTCGAAGTTAATTATAAAATTTTATGTGAAATACTTTTGTAGTAATTTTATTTAAGTTTTTGTACTTAATATTAATTCAAAAATTATTACTTATCTTCTTATTATTGGCTATGAAAAAAAAATTAAAATTGTAATTAAAAAATATATTTTCTGATTTAATTTTCTAACTCCGTCACTGATTATTAGTAATGACTAGTTGATAGAAGGAAAGAAAATAATTTTTTCATTCAAGTTTTTCACTATAAAAAATATAAACTTTATTAACTTCTTCCAAGTGCATTTGCTTTATTAATAACTATTTTTTAAAAAGAAAAGTAAAAATGCGCAAAAATACTTTGAAAAAAACATTTGTTAAACCCTGTCTAAGTTAGCCTCCGTTTGGGAAGTGGGTTGACTTTTTGGCTTTTTGACTTTTTTGACTATTTTAACCTGAGCTAAAAAGTTTGGTTTGGGAAGGACTTTTTGACTTTTTTGACTTTTTTTGTGAGAGAAGAATGTAATGATTATGGGTTAGATGTGATATTTTATTTTTTGTGGTTAAAATAGTCTATTTTGTCTTTTGTGACTAAAATAGCCAAAAAAACTTCGTTTAGCTATTGCCAAACGGAGTCTAAGAGTACTCATTGAACTCTTTGATAGTTTGGATATTGGATTTGTGAGCAGAATTGAAAATAAAGGAAAAATTTAAGAAAAGAAGATGAAGTAAAAAATTAAATTTCTGTCCTTTTTTTGGTTAGATTAGAAAAATGAGAAGAATATATATATATTTTTTGATAATCAAGTATGCGAGTAAACTTTGAC